TGCTGTGTCTATTACATAACGCGCCTCTGCAACAGCGCGGCTGCTAAAGGGGACATCTCTGCTGAATTGGGTGGTAATGGAATCCAATCTGTAACTTTACCATCTATCACATTTAAATAACAGTATTAAGCTGTGAGAATTATACCGTAGAACGTAGAAAAAATATAACGTCCCCCTTTTCTTTTCTTTTTTTATTATCTCACCTCGTCTGCATCGGATATTTATTCAACCTAAAACAGCTATTTTAGGATTCAGAATTTAAAGCTTTCTTATCAGCTACCTGCAAATCTATTTAGTAAGTAATCCCTTAGATCGACCAACGAACAAACATATCGCAGATCATTTCTGATTTGACACTCACTGGGAAGATTTGTGGGTGTCAATTCGAAGACGTCGAGTGTTCCACTGATGCAAAAAAATTTAGATTTGAGATTGGCGTGATGTCTTTGAGGTTTAATCTGTAAATCAGGATTAAAATTGGGACAAAACAACCGAAGAGCCAAAAGTAGCTGGCTTGTAAATGTTTTACAGTTCGGTCTTAAATTTGAAATATCCTTGTTAATTTTATGCAGTCTCTTTGATCTACCAATTCCTTTTAACCATCTCACATGTTGATTAGTAGCTTTAATGTTAAATCTCTCCCTCTTATAATAATGTAAAGTGCTACGGAACATGTTGGCGCTATATAAATACCAATAAAAATAATAATAGTCGCAGTAAAAATAAATGATAGAAATTTTCTTTTTCTAATGGCGTTTCTTATTCTGAAAAAAACAGGAACCCCCCCCCAAAAATACAAATTATGTTTTATTTATTTATTTATTTTAATATATTTATTTTAATTTACATGCATGATATCACAAAGAGTTAATTGATTTTTAGTGCTGGTTTATTGAATAAGGATTTTATTTCATTGTATTGTGGATCCAACTTTACAGTAACCAGTGCACAGGGGTGCTAGGAAATAAATGGGACGGAAAGGGGGGGGGCAGGCTGTACCTTTAAATCTAGGACTTATTCAAGATGCGTGCATCGCTTACTCGTTGAAGGACAGCATCTGGATCCCTCTGCTGCCAGAATTCATTGCTGATTCCTGCTTCTGATGTGTTCTGCAACTCAGCTGGAAAAACTTATCCCCGATTCATCAGTACGAGAACTTTGTAGATATGTACAGGTAAAAAATAATGTCTGACAAAGCCTGTTCTGTACATATTTATTAACCATAATTTTGTTTCAGATTTGATGTGCGACACATTAAAAACGTATTCTTTGTAATCTAGGTCCTACGCTATTGGAGGTAAGTCCAGTGGTGGTAAGTGAGTGAAATCAGTGGTTAGGGACACAGCAACACTACTGCAGAGTCACGGTTTCAACTGCTATCAGAAGAACAAATCAGCCTTTTATTTTTATAAACTCAATAAAATGAGTAACATTAAGTTGGGTATTAATAAAATCTAGACCCTAGAAACTAGCAGAAGCAAGATGTACGTGTCCCATTTACTTATTATTTAGTATTAGTATTTTTTTTATTAGTACAAAATTGACTTTTTGGGGGGTCTAGGCCAGTTGGCGATAGGCGGTTTGGGACTCGTCGATATGGCGTTTTGATTCGGACGAATTTCGGCCATGCCATCGCTTTGAGAAAAATGATTCACACATTATCTTTTTTTTAATGGCACGGACAGAACTGTGGACAGAAGTGGTTTCGTACACTGTCCATTTTGTTTGTTTCGCAATTCATTGCTTTAGCGTTTCGAAATGCAGGAATTTGGACAAACTGCTGGTCGGCCAAAAATTAACTTGAAACCAAATGTACAAGCCTAGTACAAAGACCCTACACCTCTCACAGAGCTACAACCTTTAAAGGGTTACTCCAAGCACCATAACAACTTCAGAATGTTGACTTAATCATGGGTCTTGGAGTCTGTACGTGCAGAAACACTGCGCATACAGAGATACAGAACTTTTCTGACGTAGATGTAATTCCACCTCCAAGAGCGTCATTAGCCGAGTGTCAGGCTGGCTAATGTCAGCTCTGTACATAGATTGCATCCGTCGCCAGCGGGCAGAGCATGATGCCAACAGATGACCAATGACAGTCATTCAAGTCCTCCCTGGAATATTTCAGCCAGAGGATAAGTACCTTGATTTCAAGAGCCAGTAATCTGAGGCAGAACTGGCGAGATAAGGGGCTTATTCACTAAACAGAATTTGTTTTGGCAAATTGACCACAAAGTAGAAAAACATTAGTTAAAACACCCGTGTTTCTTACAATCTTCCAGTTAGTCAAGTTCGTTATTCTTTTTTTTTTGATAATATATTTTTTGTCCAACTGCTGAAACTGAGTCATGGACACAGCACAAATCACAGTTTCGGGAACAAATGCGATGGAGATCAGATGATTCCTACTTGTTGGGTCCTGAGTGCATACTCTGTGTCCTGGAAAAAGGTTGTTGATTTTTAAATAAATAAGAATTTTAATGCATTAATGAGCATTCCGTAGGCACACGAAAAGGTTAATAAAGATGGATGTTCCCTGTTTACTGGGCACAGACAAAAGTTTTTCTTCTAAATATGGACAAAGAGATCCAGACAGGAAATGTAACAGTATGGAGTAAAAATAATCAATTCAGACAGTTAGATATTAAAGATAAGAGACTATATTCAATGCTTTCCTTGCATGGTGTCAGACTCAATAGCTGGAAGACTTGGCATTGCATACCAAATCATGCCCTCTGCTGTACCCTAACAGGTACTGCAGGTGATTATACGTAGATGAGACAATGTTGCACTGCTTCTTTCCTAAGTTTGATTAGCCATTATGGCAACCTAGGCAACTGCTTGAGGCAGTGATGGCTTTTTCATGTGAGATACAGGGATGAGCCGAGCATGGTCGAGAGCCGATGGGCCGGTCGTAGGTACTGTCAGAGCTTGACCATGCTACATGAATTGACCGGCAGTAGACTGGCTCTGTGTACTCCCTCCTTCAGGTCACTTGGACATTGCACTATTGGGCAGGTGCACCCTAATGGGGTAGCTGGTGCTACCATAAGGCGGCACATGGCGGCCTTAGGGGCACCAGCCCAAGGGGCGCAATGTCCCAGTGACCGGCAGGAGGGGAGTAAACAGCATTTCTCTTCTCCATGTCAATTCATGTCGTGTGGCCGAGCTCCGCCAACACCCCAGCTCTGGAGCATGCCGCAGGCTGTGTGGAGAGGGTGGGGATATGAATTGCATCATATCCCCGCTACCTATATTCCTTACAGTGTGGCTGGCCTTGTAATGAAGCCATACTGAGAGGAGTACAACATCAGGGATTGCCCCGGTAGCAAAAGCTCTAGCTATGCCACTGCTTGACTGACATCTAATAACGCTTTTGTACTTTTTTCAGCCATCTCTCCGGTGTTCCCAGTCGCAGGACATCAAAGCACAAATCTAGGACAGAGGGAGAGAGGCTAAATTCAGGACTGACTTGCCTATCCCGGGACTATTAGAAGGTATGAATAAATGTGTGTCACCCTTCCCTCTTTTCTATCTCAAGTTCTCAACTCCCATTCTTTCTAGAAGCTCAAAATTTACGTTAAGCAGATGTGACGTAGACTTTACATACAATTTGGTATTTTATTTTCTCAGTAAAATTCAGCGGACGGCATTTATGATTTTTCTAAGCAGTCTTTGTAATTTCTGTGAGAAATCTATGTAAAGTGCACAGAGGAAATCATGGTCACACTTTTGATGCATAAACCACGACTCTAACAGGGTTATTCACTATCAACGTGGATTTAAAATTTAAAGGGACACAATAGTCACCAAAACAATTTTATCGTAATGAAGCAGTTTTGATGTATAGATCATGCCCCTGAAGTCTCACTGCTCAATTCTCTGCCATTTAGGAGTTAAATCACTTTTGTTTCTGTTTATGCAGCTCTAGCCACACCTCCCCTGACTGTGACTCACACAGCCTGCATGAAAAATATAGTTTAATTTTCAATCAGATATTAACTTACTTTATAAGTTTTTATCTCCTGCTCTGTTAATAGAATTTTAGTTACATATAGGAGACTCCTGTAGAGTCTAGCAAACTATTAAAGGACCACTATAGTGCCAGGAAAACAAACTTGTTTTTCTGGCACCATAGTGCCCTGAGGGTGCCCCCACCCTCAGGGTCCCACTCCCGCCAGGCTGAAGGGAGAGGAAGGAGTTAAATCACTTACCTTTCTCCAGGGCCAGGCTCCCTCGACGGTGGGGACTCTCCTCCTCCTTCCGAAGTCATCGGCTGAATGCGCATGCGCAGCAAGAGACGCGCGCACATTCAGTCAGTCCCCAGGAAAGCATTCTCAATGCTTTCCTATGGACGCTGGTGTCTTCTCACTGTGAAAATCACAGTGAGAAGTGCGGAAGCTCCTCTAGCGGCTGTCAATGAGACAGCCACTAGAGGCTGGATTAACCCTAGTGTAAACATAGCATTTTCTCTGAAACTGCTATGTTTACAGCTGCAGGGTTAACACTAGATGGACCTAGCACCCAGACCACTTCATTAAGCTGAAGTGTTCTGGGTGCCTATAGTGGTCCTTTAATAGAGCAGGAAATAAGAAATTCTAAATTAAACAAAATGTGCAAAAAAGGAAGTGTAAACATGAGATGACTCTTTACAGGAATTGTTTATTAGGAAGACTGTGTAAGTCACATGCAGGGAGGTGTAGCTAGGCTGTATAAACATGTGATTTAACTCCTAAATGACAGATAATTAAAGGAACACTATAGTCACCTAAATTACTTTAGCTAAATAAAGCAGTTTTAGTGTATAGATCATTCCCCTGCAATTTATTTCACTGCTCAATTCACTGTCATTTAGGAGTCAAATCACTTTGTTTCTGTTTATGCAGCCCTAGCCACACCTCCCCTGGCTATGATTGACAGAGCCTGCATGGAAAAAAAACTGGTTTCACTTTCAAACAGATATAATTTACCTTTAATTGTATCTCAATCTCTAAATTGAACTTTAATCACATACAGAAGGCTCTTGCAGGGTCTAGCAAGCTATTAACATAGCAGGGGATAAGAAAATCTTAATTAAACAGAACTTGCAATAAAGAAAGCCTAAACAGGGCTCTCTTTACAGGAAGTGTTTATGGAAGGCTGTGCAAGTCACATGCAGGGAGGTGTGACTAGGGTTCATAAACAAAGGGATTTAACTCCTAAATGGCAGAGGATTGAGCAGTGAGGCTGCAGGGGCATGTTCCATACACCAAAACTGCTTCATTAAGCTAAAGTTGTTCAGGTGACTACAGTGTCCCTTTAAGCAGTGAGATTGCAGGGACATGAAATATACACCAAATTTGCTTCACTAAGCTAAAGTTGTTCTGGTGAATATAGTGTCATTTTCAAAGTCAGCTATGCTTCCAGTTTGGCTAATTTGGTCTAAAATGGGAAATTCACTGTGTATTCACTTTATATTCTTACTTTCGTGCATTACCATGTTTATAAGACTTTGTCTCAGATCACCTTGTGATAACCTTTTGCATAGTTTTCCCACAATCCATTATTTTTGCTACAGACTACATTTAGCTGTATATTTCCACTGTAAGTTAACTTTTTACATCTCTATTGTAATTATAGCCTCAAAAATAATGTTATTTTAAAATGCAAAAAAAAAAAAAGGTGTTTAATGTGACTGCCACAATAAAGATGTTTTTCTGCTTCAAACCAAGGTCTTTTTACTTGAAAAAGGTGCAGTATGTTCAAATATTGTCTCCTTCATGCAGATGATAATGTAATAAATATACATAAACAAAACAAGTAGAGAATTGAGGGGGGTACTAACCTCACCCAGTGTTCTGGAATGAAACTAAAGAACATTTTCAAGGTTCTGCAAATCATTTTCCAAAATATATGTTGGAAAAATCACAATTAAAAAAGCCTCAAATATAACATCATTTCATAGGAGAAAAAAGAGACCTGTCTTTATTCCGTGAGAAGGCTCATCCTTGGCCCTGCGCTTAGTAGAACTACTTTTGAATTATACTTTAAAAACCAAAACTAAATAAAAAATTACCTGCAAACTATCCCAAATCTCTATGCACATTTAATAACTGGAGGTTGTTTAGTGTCACTTCATTGGCCATTAAATTGTAAGCTCACCTGCCACGTCAAGGCAAAACCTCTTAGGTGAGTCCTACACTAACAATTCACCTTTCAACTCTCAACTAAAAGTTAGCATCTTTAATATGCGCCGGACCACCCCATTAGTGGGGACATACTCCATTTAGAATGTGTGGTTAGCATATTCTCACCTCGCTATGAAAACCGCAGACCGCAGAAACGGCCTGAGCGCACTGTCTCCGTCCTACCATCTCCCAATAGAGCTATAATCACTCTTTACATCCCACCTGGGAGCTACGAGGTTAGGCCCATGGCTGCCCAGGAAAGCGCTCTCTCAGGAGGATACCAGCGTAGGGATATCCACCCGAGAGAGGGACGCGCACCAACAGGAGGTTTACACTCCTAGCAGTCAAACTGGAACAGCATACAATAAATCCCCCCCAAGAACGAGACAAGGCTCCGTTTTGAGGGTCAAGCAGGAACAGACAAAGCTGTGGGTTTATTGTTCTTATATACACATTCTTACACATTAGTACCACCAACAGGGTTTTGTAAAATAACCAATAAACACGTACAATACACTCAGACACTCCCACACAAAATCATCACCTCTGCCTGTGATACAATTACCTTACACAATGGGTTAATGTAATTATCACAGGCAGAGAAATACAGTTTTTCCACATTATTCATAACTTTAAAAGTATACATCCCATTCACATAAAACTTTCAGATTCAGCAACTCCAGCATACTCCAAATACAAACATATGTCAAAATCATCCAAATTGGTCTAGTGGTTCAAAAGATACATCAAAGTCCTTTGTGACCAAATGAAGCATGGCTTTTCTGCCCAAAACCAGTTCCACAGAGTCTTCTATCCTGGAGATAATTGGGAAGTAATCCAATTATCTCCAAGGACAGAGGCAAAACTCCATTGAACACATGGTAGCAAAAGACAATAAAATACATAAAAAATATATAACTGTCCAGCTATTGCATTCAACATATCCCCAGATAGCTTAGATCTGAGCGCACATTATTACTGAATGGCGCTCAGATCACATACATACAGTTCAATTGCCATGGAGCCAAAGTCTTTCACATAGTCTTTCGTTATACGAATGGGCTCCATGGCATAGCTATCTTGGGGATCACTTCAAATAGGGCAAGGACCGAATGACCCGTTTTTTGTGTTTTTGCAGGGGAAAACCAAGCGTTTCTACATGGGGCCATAGTCTAAAGGCAGCAGGCGGACAACCAGGCTCCTCCAATGCATAATGGCGAGATTGGCCTCGTCACATCTCTCCCCTTTTCCAAACAAACTAACAGGGTACCTGACCTCCTGCCAGTCAGTGCCCTGGTTAGTCCAGCAACCCACCCATAAAACACAATTAGTAGTACAGCCCAACCGTCCCTAGCCCCCTGTGTTTGGGCACAGAGACTACGGTCCCATCTGCACCGGTGTGGGGCTTATCATCTCCCCTTGGTGGGCTAGGCTGCCGCTGGGGAGGGGGGGCGAGGTTCTCCCCTCCCAGTAGAAGACTCTGCCGCTGGGGAGCAGGACCGACTGTCCGTACTCCCTGTAGCTTGGGCGCAGAGACCATGGTCCCATCTGCGCCGGTGGGGAACTTAGTGTCTTCCCTTGGTGGGCTAAGCTGCCGCTGGGGAGAGGGGGTAACAAGCTCCTCTCCCTTACACACTTTCAGCTGCTGGGGAGGGAGACCGACTGTCTCCACTCCCAATGTGGCGGAACCAGCCTCGCCACTGGACATTGGAGAAGACTGATTGCCAGCCTCCTGCCATGTGACTATGGCCCCTGGGATGTATTGCCTGCTCTCCTGTACTGCTGAGGTTTGCTACCAACTAGGTGGATTTGGCTATGGAGCTTGTCTAGTGCCCTCTGTTGGTAGCAACAGCAATATGCACTACCTGAATAGCAAGACTGGTTCATTTGCATATTCGGGTAGATTTGCATATTGCTAATTCTGCAGGCACGTGAGATATTTTCTGTTAATTATTGTCTCCCCCACCTCTTTAAAAATATGCCATTGTGTTATAATAAGTCACTGTATGTTGCCTGCTATGATTTGACTGTTTGTAATTTTATTGAGTTTTCACAGCAATGTTAATGTAACCATATGTGACCATATGGGCTAGTCCCAAGGAAAATAAAGTTTTAGACAGTTCTACTTCACACTCAGTTTGGAGTGCTGTCTCTTATTGGGGGAATCTGCTACAAGGGATTGCTATGCTCTGCATACTCCTCACTGCTAAGCTCTTGTAAGAGCTTGTTCCAGTCCTGCTCTCTGAAGGAGTCCACAGTGGTTATGGTGTCGGCTGGAGTGCTTGGAGCCCTCACGAAGCGCTAGGAGCATCCTTCAATGGAGGTACCCAGTCGGAGTGCCAGGTGATCCGTTACACCCAATAAATTGTCCTGCTGCTGGGGAGAGAGACTGACTGTCTCTGCTCCCTGTAGGACACTCTGCCGCTGGGGAAGGGAGACAGGGCTCTCCTCTCCCTGCAAGGGATACTGCCGCTGGGGAGGGAGAACGAGGCTCTCCTCTCCCAGTAAAACACACTGCTGTTGGGGAGCAGGACCGACTGTCCTTGCACCCTGTAGCTCATTCTGCCGCTGGGGAAAGGAGACACGGCTCTCTATTCTCTGCAAATCAGTCTGCCGCTGGGGATCTGGACCAACCGCAAATCTCACATAAAAGCCTGAGAGCGAGACCTGGGCCTCCAACGATCCTACTGACTGGGCAGACATAACTCAATAACCTCACTCACAATATGTGTTACAAACCAAGAGCAAGCCTACAAAATGCTGTTCTGAAGGTATTATACCCCACAACGCCTGGCAGCAATGCAAAGAGCCAGCTCAAACTTTTGCTGGAAACAATGCAGAGAGGTCGGCACTTTCCTACACTGTTGGTGGACATGCCCCAAATTACTACCTACCTGGAACAGCATCACATCCCTCTTCACACAACTCCTACAAAGACCTTTCCCTAAAGACCCATCGGCACTACTGCTTTCAAAACCCTTAAACACTTTCACACGCCACGAAAACTAACCAGTAGCTAAAATTGCCCTGGCTACCCAAAGAGCAAAAGAAGAGCTGTGGGCTATTCCACACATCCCCCACCCCCAAATCATACACAAAAAATACAAGATGGAATCCAGATGGACAGACTCACTTCACAAATACGAGATGCCCCTACATCATTCCACAAAACATGGGACCTGTGGATAGAGGGAGACACCTCACTACTGTGGTAACTCCTGACCTAGCACTACAATGCCTGACACGCAGACTCATGTCACACCGTATGCCCCCGTCTCCTTCCCAACCACCTTTACATCTCCCACCAACCTGCCCCCTGGGTAGACTGGGTGGCGAGTGGCCCCGGATGCCCAGTCACCCTAGAATTTGGGGATTGATCCAGGGTCAAATCCTGGGGACCTGGACGGACCCAGTGATTACCATACTCCCCCACTCTTGGTCCACCAACATCCACCATCATCCAAGTGGAAGAGACTCTAATACATTAATAGACCCTACCATACAAAACCTCACCAGGTATACTCACATCAATTTAAACATACCTACGAACACCTACAAGGTTGACCATTAGCACTATGCTGACCTAGGCCAGGTTACCAGCCCATGAAGGAACCCTGGCTCATGAGACCCATCCCTCCAAAGCTGAGGGACAAAGCACTAAACCTCCTATCTCAAAACAGGTGATGGTTAAACTACAGACTAGGGTCATCATTATTATTGAATAAACTGCAAATTGTGGAGATTTTACATACAACAGTCAATTTTTTTGCAAATTTTGGCATCTGACTATATTGGCCTAATATTTGATAGAAGAATATTTGATAGAAGAAAAGATAGTAGATGAATAGACATACCTACCAGAAATGGTGGGCTCTGTGAAGAATGCTTGGGAAAGATATCAAACAAAAATATATCAGGTTGGTTTTGTCAAGAAATTGTCAGTCGGGGGGCGGAGCCAAGCAGCTAAGCTGAGCGGTTGTGCCAAGCTTCAGCTCCTGCACAAATCAACACAAATTGGGGGAAAATCCCCCCGAAAACAGCACAAAAGCACACCAGAGTGGAGCTAGGGAGTCGGGGACACCCGGATGAACCCTTAGACACTGAAACCAAGCGTGTGACCCACCGGGACCCTGCA